GGTGGGAAATTATTTTGCCTATCACAGCAGCACATGGCACCTAAGGTCTTCAGTGAAACACCCTGGAAGTGACTTTAGAATTGTACCTTTTTTTTTGAGGGACTTAACTAAAATGATTCAACTCTAGCCTCTCTTCTCAGTGATGGCAGGAAAATGGGGGGAGGGGGGGCACATGTGTTCTAGACACTGGAAATGAGTTTTTCTGGCAGATTTTCAGTCTTAAGGACCCAAATCAGAAGTGCTAATGTCTTCCTCCCCCAAATGGTTACTCTGTCCAAACTGCTTAAAATCGTGCCCTTAGTTTCCAGCTTGGCTTGACTTAGATACAGCGGGAAGTTCTCTGGTGCCTGCCAGCCTTGGGTGCGTGCTGAACCTCAGCACACAGTGATGACACCTAACTTTGAGAATTGGGCTCCCATTTCACACATGCCATGGAATGTGTGATGAGAGATACATGGAATATGAAGGCAACAAAGGTTGACTGTGCTGACATCAGGGGACTTAACCACTGCCCGGACTCCCCTTTGGTGTCAGGCCAAGCTCTCACAGAGGCATATCCCCAGCCCACCTCATCCTTGGCATTTCCAAGGCCTCCACAGTACCAGGTGGAGCTGGCTGCAGAGCAGGGAGGCCAGACTTAGGAAACATGGGCTTGTAGGTTTTCAAATGTGCTTTCCCACCAGGGATGGGGAACTTTTCCTTAGAGTTCGGGGGACTGGAATTGAACCAACGCCTGTCTCTTGATAACATAATTCAAATACAGTGTAATAGCGCCGGGGGAAGAGGGAGTGAACTGGAGGGTTATTCATTTCATTTCTCTGGAATAGGTCCCAGAGGAGACCATGGGGAGGGAGACCCAGCCCAACAAATTGCTGGCCCTCTTTGGGCCTGCAGAGCCCTGTCAAAGGGCTCTATGCATCACCCTGGTCTCCGCCATCCCCGGCAGGAGGCCTCCTCCCCAAACCTTTAAGCCGCCATGTGAGCCAACATTTTCTAATAATCGTTTCCTACATAAAATCAACAAGGGGAAAAATTCCTCCTCAAGCACATGTCTGGATGATTACATGTCTCTCGGACAGAGAATTATCAGTGACGGCCGCAGGGCTGCTAAGCCTGCAGAGACTGTAAACCTCTGATTAATGGGGTAAGACAGATTGTTGATATTCATGGAATTCAATATTCTAACCTCAGACCCATGTTTACAGCACATTGACTTGCAACTCTGAGAAAAGCCCTGCTTTTTTAAGTTTGGTTATTAGGAGAGAGCTCTGGAGAAAGGAAACCAGGCCAACATGTCTAGTTGGGTAGCCTAAACCAGACCTTGCATTTTATGCAGCGATTTAGGATTTAAAACCCAAATAATGCATGGAGCTACTCTGGCCGCAGGGTTTTTCCTATAGTACCTGCAACTAGGCCTGGATGAAACCCTTCGAAGTCCTCCTTGATTAACTTCTCAAGGCGGTGTGACACTTTTCTTGTTCTAATAAGAAGCAGAGAATGTAACCCATGTATCGCAGGCTGCTATTCTCGTTTCTTCTTTACTTCTTTTATTAAAAAAAAAAAAAAAAAGCAAATAAAACATGGAGCTCTTCATGAAACGCGACTCCCCTGAAGAATGATAACATTTCATTCCGCATTTGTGCGGCACCCAAGTTCATGGCTAGATGAAGGTGACCACTTTCATTCCCATCATCTTGTTATGGCTTCAAAATCATGCTGTTATTATTTGCCCCATTTTGCAGAGGAGCTAAATGAAGAACAGAGTGAATAACTTACCCCAAATTACCCATGAAGCCAGGGTTATTAGAATTCCCAGGCCAGTGGGCTCACCACAAAACTACACGGCCTGACAAATAGACACCGCCGAGAACAGGCCAAGTCTCCATCCCGCACGATTGCTGTCCGCTCCCCAGGCAGAATAGGGGCCAGCTGTAATTTGTTCAAGCAAAAAGAGCACAGAATAGGTAAGGGGTCATTTGAATATTTTAGAGATAAGAGCAAAAGTATTTCTTTAGAGGTTATTGAACTTTTTTTTTTAAAGCAAATCTGATGAGTAAATCAGAAATCCAAGGTGACGTGTGGGTTGGAAACTATCCACTATGGAGATTGGAGGAGCTTCACACTGGGGAGGAAAGAGGGTCCTTTTCCTCAGGAATTCTCCAGAAGAAGTATTGTTATGTTTTTCGAGCCAGAAAGTGGGAACAAGCTTTAGCTGAAGGATGAACCTGAACAGAATTCTAAAGTGTGTGGAGTTTGTCTTTGTGCTTTACCTCTTTCCCCTGGGCTCCCACCTCTTTGCTGCAGCCTACTTTCTGTCCTTGGGTTCTCCTGGTGACTCCTGTCTGCTAAAAGGGCCCCAGGATGCAGGCCCCATGGAAAGCCCATTGTTCCAGGTTCCCCCCCCATCAAACATTACCCATCCCAGTCCTTAGTCCTTCAGAGTGTCTGTTTCCCCACGTGAAAATGCATGCAGGTGGATTAATCAGAGAAATTACCCTAACGAATGCATTAGCCAGATGGCATGTCACCTCTCATAGGTGATGATGATGGTGATAATAATGGCATTCTTCACTGCATTTTCATATATCAAGACATTTAAGAGTATATTGGAAAGAACGCCAAAAAAAAAAATAATAATAATAATATTTGGCTTCTGCAATTCAAAATAAGATTTTGTAGCCAAACAATAAACTTGAAAGTCAGATGTTTTTGAGAGAAAGGATTTCCCCAATTCTTTTCTATCCATTGGCATACCAAGAACCAGGCGTGGAAGACTAAACCATAGAGGTTTATAGTTTCAAGGAAGGAGGGTGTGGCGCCCACTCCTTCCAGCCCTGGAGGGTTGTCAGTGGTGAGATGTGTGAGTCCCAAACCACCTCTCCAGGAGGAGACCCAGAGGTGCTTTCACTAAGTCGAAGGGAATACAGAAGGCAGAAGGTTCGTGCCATGCTCTCTATTTGGAGGACACCACTCTGCTGGGTGGCCTCTCACCAACACTGAGGACCCCTGAGAAACAAACAGGATGGAGGGGCACCATCTGGCAGAGTCTAGCGGCACTGGACTGAGGCTGCTAGGTCACTAAGTTGAGAGGCGGAGGGTGTGCCAAGCGGCCCACTATGGTGGGTGCCAACTGACCTGCATCAGAGGATGTCTGGAGGCAGATGGAGGCCTCAGCAGAATCCCAGAATGTTCCCTGCCACACCCACGCCATGGGACAGGGCCGCCTGGTCCTGGCTGGGCATGGAGAAGTAGCCCTTGGCTTCATCAGCCGTGACCATCGGCTGGCCAGCTCCACGCACTGACCAGCCCACACAGACCTGGGTCAGTACCAGGTGGCTTCCCCCCACGTTCCCGGCACTTAAGCCCCCCTTCTTCCTCCATTTGCCCAGACATCACTTTGGAAGGGACAGTGGGGTGAAGATGGAACCAGATAGGTCAAGATAAACCTCCAGAGACTATTGAAACCAGTGCCACCCAGAGTGGGTGTGAGGACTGGGGCGGGTCCTTAAGCTGTTTGTCGCCAGCGTGGGAGATGGAAGCACAAGCGCTGAGGGTGGACATTCAGAAGCTCTTGCAGCAATCTGACAGAATAATTTTAAGCTTATTGAAACCAATCATAAATTTTGGCTGGTACTTCATGTCTTTTTAAATTTTATTTTGTAGTAATTCATTTCTACTGGATTTCATGAAAGTATCCGCAACCAGTTGGAAATTTTAAAAAGTTCGGAGGAGGGGTGTGTGTGTGCTTACCACACAGATAGTTTGAGAATCACTGGGGTTTTGGACAGGACTAGGTTTTAAACCAGATTAAGTACATTTTGTCCCTTCAACCCAGTGACTATGGCCTCAAAGAGGAAGATCAGATCAGTTTTAGAAAAAAATAAAGAAGCAATATTTCTGCCCTCTGGATTATAATAATGACTGTTTCACCTCACTGCATCTCTCAGGTCTTCTCCACGGCACCCTCCCCCACCCCAAGCCATGTTAACCTGCTGAGGGACATGTCCTAAGGGGCAACCAGTATGGGGTGTCAAGACAGACAGGCTGCAGTTTGACCTTGAAGGTGTGAGAGCTGGCGGGCAGGAGGAGAAAGCTAGAGTCCAGGAGTCTGGGGTCCCAGCAAAGTCCTTGTTCACAGAACAGAGAGACCGAGTTCTGAGTTTAGGAAGCGTATGTGCCAGGCCACCATGACCATGACCTCAGCCTGGGCAATGACAATCATTATAAAGACAAATACCTGTACGCAGAACGCATACAGGAAAATCCACATTTACCAGACCAATTCGTTACAGAGGAATATTCTTGAGTTTTGAGGAGGCTTCACTTTCAGATAGATCTATTTAGCTCAGTTCCCTTAAATAGCGACCTCCCCAAATATATGTAAGTGATGTGTTGGGGACAATTAACTTAATCATCCCAGACGTGAGGGGAAGAATCTCACATAAACATACTCTACAGGAGCCTCATCAGCTGAAAATCAACCAGAAAAAAGATCCTTGGACACAATTGGTGAAGTCAATGGGGGATGCAATTTTGTTTACTGAGATTTCTTTGCAGGCGGACAACTGTGGGCAAAGAGAGGACTCATAGGAGCTGGTACCTCTCATTCACGAGAGGCTGCTCTAAGCACTTTCGTGTTGTTCGTTCCATTAGTGGCAACGGTCCCCGCCGGGGCCAACAGAGATGAGACCACAGAGAGCCCCGCTGGGGAACTTGCCAAAGTTCACACGCTTGGAAGGGGCAGAGCTGGGCTTCCAACCCACGTCTGCTGGACTCGAAATCCGTGGTTCACTGATCACACCCGTATCCTGTTAGCCAGGAGACCCCACGAAAAGCGACTCAATGGAGTGGACCAAAGGGCCCCCTGGCCGCTGCACCCCTCCCTCCCTTGCTTCTCTGTCACTGCGTAGATTCTGACCTAGGTCACCTCTGACCCTGAGAGAGACTGATACAAATGGAAGATTTTCCTACCTGTAACGGAGGCCCATTTAATGCAAAGTGCCAGAGGCCACACTTTATCAATCGAGGACTCCAGAGAAGCACATGACAAGTCCCTCTGCTCCAAGAACTGTGAACTGGAAGACAAAGGGCCCCGGGGTGAGCTGTAGCTGCCACGCTCATCCGCCAGCCAATCAATAAGCATCCAGAAGTGAGGTTTCAGTTACCTGTGGTCAGCCAAGGTCTGAAAATAGTAAATGGAAAATTCCAGAAATAAACAATTCGTAAGTTTTAAATTACATGATGAAGCCCCATGCCATCCCACTCTGTCCCGCCCGGAGCCATGCTACCGATGCTCGCCACTTCTAGTCACTCAGCAGCTGTCTTGGTGACCAGAACGACTGTCGGGGTATCGCAGGGCTTGTGTTCAAGTGCCCTAATTTTACTTATAATGGCCCCATAGCCATTTATATAACTTATTACTTTTATTACAGTATATTGTTATAATTATTCTATTTTATTATTAGTTATTATTAATCTTTTACTGTGCCTAATTTATAAATTAAACTTTATCATAGATATGTACGTATAGGAAAAAAATTTACTATAGTATATAGGGTTTGGTACTATCTGTGGTTTCAGGCAGCCACTGGGGGTCTGGGAGAGTATCCCCTGCAGATAAGGGGGGGGGGCTACTGTAATGAAAATTACTCACCATCGCTTAGACAGCTCAGACCCCTGCAAAGTGTCCTTGAAGGAACTCTGCACTTTGGGGCTGATGTTTGTGGAGTGATTTCTCTGGGGATAAAACTGGAGATGGAGGGATAGGAAATGATCAAAGCAAAACTTCTTGAAATTTATCCTGGGGAAGGGCAGCCAAAATCAGATTTACTGTGCAGAGTGACCTGGGGCGGGGAGGGCGAGGGGGAGCGAGTAGACACACAAGTGCACACACACACACACACACACACACACACACACACACCCCTCCAGAAAAGCAGGGAAGCCTGGCTGCCATCTGCAGTCTCGGAAGCTTCTGGTAAAGCTAACAATGCTACGTGGGACCTACATGTCTTTGGAGATCGTCACAGACACCAATGGACCAGTCTTCACTTAGGAGAGAGAAACCGCCCGCAGCCCACGGGGTTGTAATGAGCTCGTTTTGGAGAAGCCTGGAAAAGTTCCTCCGCGTCTCCACGCACATCCATCACCCCAGCGAGCCCCAGAGGGCTCCTGCTCGCCTTCGCTTTCACAAAACACTGGAAGTGTTTGAACGTTTGAGAAAACTTACGACCTTGGAACACGTTGCCTGTTTTCTTACAACTTAATGAGACTAAATCGTTGATAAGTCTGGTTTGAAGCCTAACAGCGCACCCCCGGGCGGGTGCAGGCAGCCAAGTCCCACTTTCCAGGGGCCCGGCTGTGGCGCGGAGCGGTGTGCGGGTCACGGGCCCGCAGCCGCTCCCTGGGCTGGTGTTCTCCAGGGATTTCTGGCAAAGCCACGGCGGTTTTAGCCTATTGTTGTTTAGCAATTTGTTTAAAACCCCTCCTAATGTATTCCAAATACTAAAAAATCAGTGCTCTCTGAGTTAGGCCGTGTGATTACAAGTGTTCTAGAAAAGCACACTGTTTCAATCCTCAATTAGGCAGAGTTGGAGATATTCAGGGGTTCATTTGACAGCTACCCACCCATGGGTCCCACCCAGGGGCCCCAGAGGGTGTCCAGCAGGCTGACCTTTCCTCCCCACACACAGCTGTTGGGATGCCCAACAAATGAGGAAACAATTCTATAAACATTGAGGAATTTGGCAAAGGGCCTCTGTAGCTGTGATTTGGGGGAGCTTGAGAGTTAAAGGGGATTTGGGAGACCCATCAGATGTGGGGGATCCCTCCTGGGCTGCCCCAGGCCTCTCAGCGCTGAGAGAGTAGGAGCAGAACACAATCAGGATTTATTAACAGCCTCCTTAATGATAACACATTCTGTGCGTAGGTGGTGGTGGGGGGAGGATATGGCTCCCCTACTTTTTTTTTTTTTAATATCTTTATTGATTTCAGAGAGAGGAAAGGAGAGAGACAGGCAGACAGACAGAAACGTAATGATGAGTGTCATTGGGGATTGAGCCCGCAACCCCGGGGCATGTGCCCTGACCGGGAATTGAACCCGGATCGCCTGCATCCTAGGTTGACGCTCAACCGCTGAGCCGCGCCCGGCTGGGCTGGCTCCCCTACCCTTACAGAACTTAAACTATAGCTGGGACATCAGACATTGGCAGCCTGTACTGTGGGGAACACTGTATGTAGTGGTTAAAACCCCACAATACTGGTCCTGACCTCAGATCTCAGGTTCATCATCTCAGCTGTGTGACTTGAGGCAAGTTTCTTAACCTCTCTGTGCCTCACTTTCCCCATTTGTGAAATGGCAATAGTAACAGTAGCTGTCTTCTACGCATGCCTTGAGGACTGAGTGAGTGAAGCCCGTGGGAGGAGGCAGGCCTGACTCATGCTGAGCACGTTTTGGGTACAGCCTTTTTATCACTATGCTGGCCCATTATCTACCCCCCTCCACCCCATAGGGCACCCCTAACCCGGTGCTGTGGTTCTGCCTGCATGAACCCGTCTTTGGGGGCAGGGTCTGTGTTGCTGCGGTGCCAGGGACCAGGCCTGCACCAGGAAGCAAACCATGTCCCTCAGAGGAGGAAGGAACAGACGCAGGACTAGAAAGTCTGGAGGTGAAGACAGGTGTCCCGCCTTCGGGGCCAGGAGGGCTCTGACAGAATGGCACATCCGGCCACGTTATCTCACTCCTCTCTGGCACAGGTGCCTTACCTGTGGTAGGACTGAGAATATCTCCTTCCACGTGCTATTGATGGTAGAAGGTCCTGCCAGTGGCTAACCAGGGAGGTCAGTGTCCTGTCCATGTTGGGGTGGGGAGGCGGTAACTGGCCCTGAAGGGGAGGGTGTCCACTGGTCAGCACAGCCAGGCCTGGCCCTTCCTAAGGAGTCTCTAGGTAGGCTGAGAGTGGGTGCAGGGCTTTGGGGAAGGCAGGGCAGGAAATGGGGAGAAAAGGCTCTGGGGTGCTGGGGTTGGCTGTTGGTTTCCCCGAGCATTGACCCAGGAGAGGGCACCAAGCAGAAACGCGCTGGAAGGTGCCTCCTGTGTGCAGCCAGGAGCAGTGTCTGTCCCACAGGGGGGAACTGCCTTGTGGGAGCTGCAGGCCTCTACTGTGCTGAAATGCACCTTCATCCTGGCTTTTCTCTGGCCCTGGTGCCTCTGACTTCAGGAAACCAGGAATCCATCAGGGGAAGAAGACCACAGCAGGCACTGCCGGTTCCCTCGGTCAGCTCGAAGTGGATCCTCCCACCGGGCAGGGTCCTCTGCAGCCACAGCCACCTTGTGACATAATTCCTGTCATAGCTCAGCAGCCTTTAGAAGAACGGGTGCATGTTCAGTCCACACCGAAATAGCACTGTCTTGTCAGGTCCATGCCCAGGGCTCGGAGTGTCGGATCTCAGCCAGGCCCTGGGCGGCAGGACAGCTAAAATATTCCACTCAGAGATGAGGACAGGAGGGGCTTCTGCACCCCCAAGCCCAGGCAGGTAAAAAGACATGCCCAGGAAACAGCTGGTGAGTGCCAGATGCAGTCAGAAATCCCAAAGCAACCGGCCGGGCGTGGCTCAGCAGTTAAGCATCGACCTAGGATCCAGGCGATCGGGGTTCGATTCCCGGTCAGGGCACATGCCTGGGTTGCGGGCTAGGCAGCTAATCAATGACTCTCTCGTCATTGATGTTTTTAATCTCTCTCTCTCTCCCTCTCCTTTCCTCTCTCTGTAATCAATAAAGATATATTTTTTAGAAAGAAAGAAAGAAGAAAGAAAGAAAGAAAGAAAGAAAGAAAGAAAGAAAGAAAGAAAGAAAGAAAGAAAGAAAGAAAGAAAGAAAGGAAAGAAGAAAGAAAGAAAGAAAGAAAGAAAGAAAGAAAGAAAGAAAGAAAGAAAGAAAGAAAGAAAGAAAAAGAAATCCCAAAGCAAGAGACACAACGGGGTGGGGTGAGCAAGGCTTCCTTCCAGTGAGGGAATAGCGGTCATTCTGATACATTCATTCTAAAAAATGGAGAGGTACTGCCCAGGATCAGTAAGGGGTTTTGTTTTTGTCCTGTCGCGTGATAGAAATTCAAATTTAGTCTATTTCATAAGTCAGTAAAAACTAGTTTGGCCAAAAGTAGGGTTGATTTTTGGTTTAGGTATGAGTCTTAATCCAATTCAGTCATGGCCATCTCTAGAAGGCCCAGGTGAGAGCATTCGGGCAATAATTGCCAGCAAATGTCAATCGTGACCCTTCGGGTTAATGAATGAGTCCTGTAGCAGGTCAACTGGGCTTGGTCATGGCTGTGGCCTAGAGTTCCAGGTGCCCACAAATTCACCCATTCGACACAGCCGTCGTTTCCCATGGGGCATCTTTAACAAGGACAGGGACTCGGGAAGTCCACTTGTCTGATAACGTAGTCAGCAAAAGCGCACACATCTGTGCAGTTGCTAGAGTCATTCTTAGTTTATTATTATTTTTTATGGCAACTCTGGATGTTTTGCTGCTGAGAAAGCCAACTGCGGGTCTCCATACCTTTTTTATTACTTGGGAGAATTTTTCTTCTGAACGTTCAGAGGTACCTTCTAGTTTGCCTGCATTTGGCTCGTGCCAGCGAGCTGCTTACAGGAATATCTCGGGACTCAGTGCCAACTCTGAAAAACATAATCAGTTGCAAATGTTTTGGGGTGGATGACTGATGAACGTAGGAACTTTATCACTCCTCCCATTTTTTACTGTTAGCAAACTGTAGAAATCTCACATGAGACAACCTCCTTTCCTACTTCCCAACAGTCCTCTAAAAATGATGAAAACAGCAGCCAAGAAGGATGGCTTGTCTGCCTCTGCGAGGGCTGGGCTGACGGGGTCACGCTCATCTCGGCCGGCAGGACAGACAGTGCTGAACCGAGTGGTTGTTTGTTTATGTCCCACAGCGGATGAGAGCTTCGCTCAGTGCTATTTTTCTTTTCACGTGAAAATGTGGTCCTGCAGCAGAGCCAGCAGAGGGACGGCGCCTGGCACGTCAGGGCCTCCAGGAGGGGCAGTTATGGCAGAGCTGGCTGAGAGGTACCTGCCCCAGGTCAGGAAAGCAGCTTCCCTGACCACTGGGACCCTTCTCCTCTCCGAAGCATGTGCTGGCCGCAATCCAACAGCAATCCGTGGGCCTCTACCCCGTGCCGGGCACCCTGCCCACAGCCAGGAACAAAATTACGATCAAGTTAGTGGGAGGAAGAGCGCAGTCAGCAGGCACCCTGGGCAGTCCTCCATCCCGGGCAGCGAGCAGGAGACAGAGACGAAGACAGGGCAGGAGTACCTAGTACCTGTCGGGGGTAGAGCCGAGCACTCCAATGCCACGAGCCCAGCTTCCCAGACGCACCTGAGAAGCCCCGGAGAGAGGGCGTCAGGCCGCCCCTCTGACCTGTCTCGCAGATGACCCTCAGCAAACACTCACCTTAAGGCCGCCCCACTTCTCCCTCAACTTACACTTATTAAAACTGCCCTGAGGCTCTGATGTAGAATAAGAATAAAAGGAAGTCTCTGGAATATCTACTTTCTCACCAGTGAAGAGAGTTTACTGAAACTTTTGGGTCCTGGTGAGAAGCGCCAAGTTGGTGTTGCTGTGCCGTGCGTGGCCAAGCCTCCCGCTGCAATGGCAGCTCCCCCTGGCACCTTGAGGTCACCGTAAAACAATTGTCAAAAGAAAAATACTTTAAGTTCACTGAACTTTAAATGTAGAGGGGGACCACACAGTGCTTTAGGATATTTAGAAAGGCATTGCCTTTATTTATTTATTATTTTTTAAAACTATGTTTTTATTGATTTCAGAGGGAGGAAGGGAGAGGGAGAGAGAGAGAGAGAAACATCAATGATGAGAGTCATTGATCGGCTGCCTCCTGCACGGCCCCTACTGGGGATCGAGCTCACAACCGAGGCATGTGTCCTGACCGGGAATCGAACTGTGACCTCTCAGCTCCTGGGTCATAGCTCAGCCACGCCTGACTGAGCCACACCCGACTGGGCGAAAGGCATCGTCATTAAATGAATTGGATACAGCATCGGCACCGTTC